TAGAAAAATGTTCCCCCATGATAAGGTTGCACAAAAGTACGCCAGTGGTAGACCCAAAACTACATCCATCGTGAACACGTGTGCAAATGATATCTCCGACAATTTAGCCAGTGCTATGAGAAGTGGACCTTTTATTATAGGAACGGATGGTAGCCAGGAAGGGGATGAGAAATATTTTCCTATTGTTGTTCGTGTTTTGAATAATGACACTGACAGTGTAAAAACAGAGCTTTTGGCAAACCCTACGTGTAGTGAGTCCGCTACAGGGGCAAATATATTTCAATTGCTTGAAGATGAACTGCATGCACGAGATATCAAATGGGAAAACTGTCTGGCTATCGTGTGTGATAACTGTAATGTTATGACAGGAAAAAACAAAGGTGTGATCAAGTACATTCGAGACAAAAACAAATCTGTACACATGTCTGGGTGTGTTTGCCACTTGCTGCATTAGTCATCAAAAAGGCAACCAAGGCTTTCCAAGGATCGTTCGAGTTTGACGACCTCTTGCGTCAGTTGTCATGGTATTTCTCCAAAAGCACAAACAGAGTTAAACGATTTCAGGCATTACAGGAAAAATGTCAAGTCCCACATCATAAACTTATTGATCATGTTCCGACACGCTGGCTGTCACTTGGTGCAGCACTCACTCGATTACTGGAGCAGTGGGAACCCCTCCGAGAATTTTTTGAGGAGGAATGTACCAAGAATGTGAAGAAGACATCCCAGTCTGCCTCATCTGACAAGAAAACAGGTGCAAAGGCTACCGCTAGTGATGTGAGTAAAACAGTGAAAACTGGTGACAAGGTGAAAACCATTGACAAGGCCAAGGCCAGTAATGCCAGTAAGGTGGTGAAAACTAGTGACAAGGTGAAAACCAGTGACAAGGCCAAGGCCAGTAATGCCAGTAAGGTGGTGAAAACTAGTGACAAGGTGAAAACCAGTGACAAGGCCAAGGGCAGTGATGTGAGTAAAGCAACACAAGGCAGTGCCACGACCAGTGATGGTGGTAAATGGGCACAACCAGACACTGTGAAAACAAGGCTAATGTGTTTCCTGAGCCGTCGCACGGCAAAGTTATATGCTTTGTTTTTAGCTTTTGCCATTGAGATGTTTGACAAAATCAACCAATACTGGCAGACAGAGTATGCTAGAATTCACACACTGAAACGAACATTGGAGAAACTGTATAAGACTCTTCTACTCTGTTATGTGAAGCCAGCAGCATTGAATCAAGGGGCCCTGATGGATGTTGCCTTTATGTCAAGCTACAACATCAAAGCTTCTAAAGATGTTATGATTGGGACTCAGGCTAAAAGCTTCATCACTTCATCTGGACTTAAAAATTCAGTAGTTCAGCAATTCTACAAGGACGTCATATCCTTCTATCAAACTGC